AGTCTGCCATCAGAAGAACCTTAACTGCTCAAATCAAATTTTCAGAAAATGAGTCCATTTCTGCCCAAAATAATTTGGTTTTACTAGAAGGCTTTAGTATTTGAAATACAGCTTTCAATACGCTTTATACATTCAGTGTCATATATTTGACATGGTTGCTCCCTGTTGCCTGTGAGCAATGATCAGTTTTTAAAGAAATGCTAGCAAAGTAGTCATCTATGCCCCTCTGAATTCAGGCTGCCTGGGACTGATTCTTGGTTTCCCATCAAACTAGCTGCAATGGAGCACAAGTTCTGTTTTGGTTTTCTTGTCTGTAAAATGGGATTGTTACTTATCTAACTTACTAACAAGCTGCCACAAACCCAGTGGTGTCAATCGGGCTCCCTTCTCTTCTGGAGCTCCGAGTCCTCTTCAAAGCTTATTCAAGGTGTTGGCAGAGAAATTAATAGGTTCGTTTTTTAAATTGCAAAGCAGGCAAATATGTCGAAGTGACAGAAAGGAACGGTTTTGCTGACTGCCATTTTCTCCTTTTTCACTGAATTTTGTGGTAGTTCTTAAAGCTTATCTCAACTTTTTTTCCATCATTTCAAGTATTTTTATTACTTAATATCCACTAAGAGTTTGGGTTTTATTTTTTCCTTTGTATCCATTTTAATTGAAGTTATGAATATAGCGAATTATATTTATATCAAAATATATTCTATTGATGGACATTCAGGAGGTGTCTCAGTTATGGTTTTTTGGTTGTTGTTTTTTGTTGTTGTTAGGTTTTATTGATTGATTGCATAATTTTAATCATTTTTCTGATTTGATTGTTTCTGTATGTAGGGAAGTATTTTAAATGGACTAGTTTATGTAAACATATACACCCTCACGTACATATGGCCACACAATATTATGTTTATATTTGTGGGAGGAGATTTATGTGTGTACGTAACCACCCATGAGGTATGTTTCCAAATCTTTTGAGACCTGAAACCCTGTCTCATATTTACAACATCCTACCCATTCTCTTATATGTAAAATTGCACATTCAGAGTCTCAGTTTTTTAGCTTAAAATATTGATTTTATTGAAAAGCAGGTCCAGGTGGGAGTTCCAATGTGATCATTGTTTGACAGACAGTTACACAAATTCTGCTAAGGTCTCCCTCAAATGCTTAGGACGTTACACACGCACAAAACGTGAAAGCAGATTCCTGCTTTAAGAGAAGGGTGGGCAACCATCCATCCACTTAATCCCAGAATCACGGCAACACTTCCATCAGGTCTCAAGTCAATGGAAGTGGATTGAAAAGCCCAGTTAATAGGAGAACCTGTGATATGCCAGTAACTCTAATACTTTAAAATATTTTCAAAGATCTTGTCTACTTCCTTCTTCTCTGACTTCTTGTTTAGATAAACAAACAAAAAAAGACCCCCCCCCCAAAAAAAACCAGAAAGAAGAAGGCGGCGGCCATCTTTCCAGCTCGAGGCTACATGTTTAAGGAACCAAAGGACTCTTCCCCTTTTTATAATTCCACCAGTCTCCTCTTCTGTACCATTGAGAGACAGAAATGCTAGGGAAAACAAAACAAAACAAGGAGACTGAACTTGGCGGGGAGTCGATTAACTGTGATTGGAAGTCCTTATCTGCGGCATAATGTTATATATGTACACGAGGTGAGCATGATTGGGCAGGAAAATGCCTAGCAAGGGACTTGCAAGAAAAGAAACCACATTATAAATGCTAGTCATCTCTGGTTGTATATATATTATGTATTATAATATATATAATATATATATTTTAATATATATATTTTGTATATATATGTGTGTGTATATATATATATGCATATACATATTATATATATGTATTATAAATGTCATCTCTGGTTGTATAAAAAGAGGTGATTTTTTTCCTTCCTTTTAATCTAATTTTTGGTACATTTTTTCAAAATGAGCATATGTTAACGTCACAATAGGAATGCTTAAACCTTGATTTTTAAAACCATGTATTCCCTGGAAAAGCTAACATATCCAGCTGCAATTGGCTGCTTTATACCACAGCGTGAACAAAGAAACTGAATATGAGACCCGTAAGGGTCAGGGGGAGGGAAGGAGAAGGCAAAAGAGAGAGGGTGTTAAGACACAGGAAGATGCTATAAAGTGGAGATGGGTTCAGGAAGGAATGACTTAAAAAAATACATATTTGCTCTCATTCTGTTCCCCAGGGATAGTTCCCTTTGCATACTTTTCAACACAGTTGAGCAGTTACCTACTTTTAATTTTGCTTAAGGCTGAGTGAACTTTGCCTAAGTCAAAATAACGTGAGTTGCCACATTGTCAGATGGACACTTGGGACATTAAAGGTT